GTACAAAAGACTGTCACTTTAAAGACTAAGGTGCACCTGACATAAGCCATGGTCTTTTCAAATGCTTTATGTACATGTTAAAGATAGATAACAAATAAGGAAGAACAGATGCCTTTGAGTTGTGGTACTCTCGAAGCCTGTCAAAAGAACAAGCTTATGTGGTTTTTTTTCCTCTAAAAATTACTTCATTTGAAATAAAATGTTGCTAGGATTTACAAAGCCATTCAAAACTCAAAAATATATATAAGGGCTTTGGCTCATCTACCAAAAACAGTAATCCATTTTTTAAGCTTTCAGTACAGAATCTTCTTCTGTTTTGTTCCACAACAATAGTTGTACAGTTTTTAGGAGAATATTTGAGCAGGTAGGAGGTGAATTCTCCATTCTATATATATTAAGGATCAGACAGTCTCCAAAACACATTTAAAAAACAAAAACCAAAATTTTCTAAGAAAGGCAGCTAAAGTGGATTTTGCTAAAAATTGTGACTTCACTTCTACTAAGATTCACAGTTCTAAGGGAATTTTATTAATCAGCAACTAAGTGAACATCTGAACACAATTAACATCCATGTTGTTCCTTAGGAAAGATATTACAATTCCCCACTTAATAGTTGAATTGCCTTGAAAAAGCTACTTAGCTTGCTAATTAGACTTCCTCTGAAAAGAAGGGTGGCTGTCAGCAGTACATGCAATAAAGCACGTAGAGATTTTGTAAAATGCTTGGTATACCGAAAGCCCTCACTAAATATTAATTTCCTTTCCTTTCCCAGTTCCCTCAGAGGCTCCTAGAACTATACAAGATGACAGTGTAGTTTAGTCAGTTTATAAAATGTGATGTATTTCCTGTGTATAGGACCCCATTCATCCTGGAAATTCCCGCAACAATCATCTTTAAATAGCAGTTGGCTATTATCAGTTCCCTAAACCTAAGTTATATCATATATTAAGGAATGTTCTTAACCGATTGTCAGGAATAGTATGTGGTCAGCTGACTAAAAAAAAAATAATAATGAAAGCAGGTAATTTTTAAAAGGATTTTGTTAAAGCACAAAAAGTATTTTAAGGCAAGGTTAAGACTTCCTTAAGTAAGGGGTCACTATGTGGTGTTCTTCATCATCTCTCAATGGTTAAACATAAAGTATCATACCTGTGTGACAACTAACACCACAACCATCTTTTTGGATAAAATACACCTATAATGTGTCTTACTTAACTTGACAGCACCTAACAACACAATGCATTATCGATAAATTCTGGTTTGGCTTTAACATGGTGGTAGAATCTACTACTCTTGCAAAAGAAAATGAACACAGATCTTAGATTTTTTGAAATCTTTTCTTAGTCTAACTCATGAGCCATTTTCAATCTTGGTTTGCATTAAGACTTAACATAGCATCATTCCTTTTCATATTTGTTTCACCAATTTATATGTTTAAAACAAATTATATAACCAACACAGTTGGCATAAACAGGCTTGGCAATAAACACAAGTCCCTCTTGGGAAAGCACATCAGGCAAATGATAGGAGAAGTAGCTACAAGGCACATGGTAGAGTAGGCTACAGATATGGGGACATGGATACAGATAAAAAAACATGGTTTCAATGTTCAGTTGTACATGTAAAAACTGTTGAATAGGTATATGTTGTTTTTTTTTTTTGTTTTTTGTTTTTGTTTTTTTTTTAAACTAAGTATCCTTTTCCAGTCCATGTCAGATGGGTAGTGTGCCTCCGTCGTAACAAGGTTAGTAGGTGGCACATGTCATACAGACGTATGAGCTCCCGATCATCATGCGTATGAACCGGAAAAGGATCTGAATAGGTGTATGTTTTGCTATGTTTATTTTCACACACACAAAAAATACATTTAAGAAAATCAAACAAACAAAAAAAGTTTATGAAAGGAATGAAGAACATCGGTCATTACACAAGTCTTTCTACTACATAAGATTTCTCCCTCTAGTTTTCGGGCTACTGTAATCTGGGTCCCCTCTGTTGCTGTTAAGATGCCATGGAGTTGTCCTCTGGCTCATGGCAAGTACATGCACAACAGAACAAAACAGTGTCTGGACCTGAGCCATCGCCATGATCAGTTGTACACCAAGCCATGTGATTCGTATTATTTCAGCTGGCTGATTTTCAGATGTAAATCACCAGGTCTTTCTTTCTTGTTTTGGTTTAGCTGCTGCAATGAAATTTATTTGAACAAAATACCAGCAATACTCAAGCCTCCACTGAGAGATGGCAATAGGTGCATATGAGATTCACTAACTGGGACTTAAACCTGAACTACACACACCGAAGAATTTTACCACTCTTTGAACTACCAATGCCATTATGAATGTCCCTTAACTAATGAAATTTATTTCCCACTTATATTTGCTTCAGTTAACATATGGTCTATTCCTCCTTTAGAGTTTATTGATGTATCTTACTCTTCTGAAAATGTCTTTTTCTTTCACTACCTATCAAAATTGCTACTATCCTTCAAGCTAAGCACAAATATTTCTCACATTTTTTATCTCAGACTTCATTATCTCCTGCTCCTTGAGCTCATCTGGTACCTGCAGTCTGTACTCAATTTAGTTCATATTATAATCCACTTTTTCCTGAATTTGAGCCTTTCTGCTGGATTATTCCTATTAGCACACAAATATATTCCAGTAACTAATATTAAAAAGAAAAAACAAACGTAACAGCTTCATACTCCCAAATACTACTTTCTCACCTTAAGGTTTTCCTATTCATATTATTTCTATTCTACCTATGTTCTTTAAGTTTCATACTAAACACTATAGTATAAGGCCTCCATCTTATGCTTGTCAGAATCAGTAATACCCTCCATGCTATTCAACTTGATGGGCTGGGTTTGTGTTTTTTTTTTTAATTTTACTTTACATTACTTCTCAGTTCTATTTTATAGCTGAGTTTTCTCTTCCTTGAAACCCAGTTAAGGACTGAATTGTGTACCCTAAAAATGTGAGTTAACATGGATGGGTCATGATTTTCAATAAGTAACTTCCATTTTGACTTGATATAATTATCCTACAGGATATAAATCCTAACCTCTATGAAGTCAAGGAGACAGGATTGAGGATTATGTTATAGCTTGAGTTAATCTCTTTTGAGATATTAAAGAGATAAAACAAGTATCTAGAAATCAGAGTGACCTACTATTACAAGGAAACAAGAGACAGGAGCCTGTCCATTGCACCAAGAATTCCTGAGATGGGGAAATAAGAAGTGGAAATAAGACCAGGACCTTCTCCTCCCACCCCCTCCCCAAGAGCTGGCAGAGAGAGAAACAGAGAACATTCTTAGAACTGGAACCTTGAATTTGGACTTCCAGACTCTTAAAACAATGAAAGAATAAATTTGTTTCTTAAAACTAAAATACTTGTGGTATTTCTATTACACAGCCCTTTTTTGTCCACTGAGTTATTACGTTCTTGGTTTTTGCCACCCAGTGGGCTACCAATTTCAGTTTGCCTCCCCAAGTCCTCATTCTCTAACACATCTCTCACTGCCAAGTATCTCTCACAAGACTAATCCCCTTTTATGTCAAAGTTTGCAAAAGTGACAAAACCAACTCATAAAGAAGCTTAAGAAATTTTTAGGGGTGTTCTTGTGGTGAATAGTAACAATATTTAGTGAAGAATAAGAGATGCTAACAATGCAGCAGCAATCTCAAACAAGGAAAACATGTACCAACTTTCAAAATTCCTCACCAGGTAGTCAAATAGTGGTAAAAAAAAACACCAAAACAAACCTACTTGGAATCTAACTTTGTTCCACAGATGAAGTATTTTTATATTTATGCAAATTTTAAGAAATTCAATCCCTATATAAGTCAAAGGAAGTTAGGTTTAAGAATTTTCATGTGGAAAAAAAAATTTCAGTGACAATGTTTTGAAAGAGACTGCAACTCTGAGAGAATCTTTAGGGAATATTGAGATTAATAATTTCGAAGGGTAATCATAGGGTCACACTATTTGATAGAGGGGTGGTTAAAGGAAATGGGAAAGATCAGGTTTGAAAAACAATGTATACAAACTCTGTAAGTAAACCGGTATAAAAAAAATTTTATTTAAAAAAATAATTTAAGATGAGTGAAAGAAAAGGCAATATACAGAGTAAGTGGATAGCCAACAAGTAAATGAATGAATTTAATACTGAGCTGAAAGCAGGCTGTACACTACCATGCAGCTATCAACTGTCAGCATTAATAGTATAAATGAGCACTGCTCTCATGCCTCAGCTCATCATGTCAATTTTAACTATAATTTTTACTTGGCTTCATTCAGACTCTAAGTTATTACTTTCTGGGCCCTAGGCCTGTACTAATTTGCATGACTTTTAAACTAATCATTAAATTTAAAAAGCAATTTTGCAATTTAAATCCCTGGCACTTAATTGACTTCCTACCTCAAGGCACTAAATCATCCAGCAGCAATTCATCATTCCAACCAGTCTGTACACGAGCAGACTGTGTTATTGTCGTGCTTTGGAAACGCACACTGAGGACTCAAACGTTGTTATGCTGGGTTTTTTTGCGTTGTTGTTTTCTCCAAGTGCCAATCCAGGCTTGATCTACATTCCTAAACTTGATCTCCATCACTCTAGCTGAAGAGCAACCGCTACCCTAAAGAATGTGAGTGTGTGTGTGATTTCTCAGTAGTCGCAAGGCCAGGGCATAGGATGTCCCCCTGACTGGCAGCTGGCCTGTTATGCGTTCAAGACGTCAGGGTCAAGGAGCATGCAGACCACGCACAGCCAGCAGCCCGGTGAGGTGGAGTGTGCTGCAGACACCTGCCAGCCGCGCACCCATCACATGGGCTATAAAGCCTGGGCAGCAACCCTTCGAAGAAGGGCTGGACTCCACGGTAGTCATGAGGGCAGTCGAAAGGGGGATTAGGCTATAGGACTGGGGGTGAGGTGGGTAGGATCCTTCACTGGGATTGGCGCTCCCTACGTTCTGAGGGGCAGGACCTTGCACCAACCTCCACGAAGGCATCAGTCAGGTCACTAGCTCTGTCCATCACTGGCAAATGGCGCCCGGCCACGATTTTCACCTTCAGCTTCCCGGGCATCGTCTCGGCTTCGGCCTCTTCTTAAGCTCCTGCAGACACAAACAAACGCGTCTGCGCCGAGCGCCGGTCTGGGCGGGGGCGGGGCGGGAGCGCGCGGGGAGCGGCGCGCGGAGGCGGGAGTGCGCGGGGTAACGACAGCGGAGGGCACGCGGGGGCGCGCGGGGGCCGGGCCGCACGGCCGCTAGGCGCTACTCACACTCGGAGAACAGTGGGCGTCACGTGTGGGTGCGGGGGCCTCATTCCGGAGAGGCAGCGGGAGGAACGGACCCGGTGGATTCTCCCGACCCTGCCCCGCAGTACAGGAAAGAGAAGCAAAACCCAGTCAGCATCTCGCAGTGCCTCCGCAGCGCCTACATGCGTTTCTCCTCCCCCAAAAATGGCGACTCCCAGGGCGTGGAGGAAGCATCGATAATTCGGTGCTCTGCCCACTTCTCAGAGAGAAGTTAAATTCGCTGAGAAAAGATAAAGGGGGCGGGACGGACTTCAAGGAAGGTGGAAGGTAGGGAAGTGGGTCGAGTACTGAATCATCCACCGAGAGGCCGCCTTAGCTTTGTGCTGCGCTTCTTGCATACAGAGTTGGCACCCTATTCCGGGGGTGGTGGTGCTCGCTTATCTGCAGATCGCCGCTTTCTCAGCTGAACGCGCTGCTTTTCCAAAGAGCTGCCTTTCAGAGGCAGCGGCAGTAAAGACACGTTCTTCCACGTGACGTAGACGAGGCGCTCGTGCTTCGTGAAAGAGCCCTGGTGGCACTGTGGCTTGAGTGTTGGGGCTGCTAACCGAAAAGGCACTGCCTCAAATCCACTGGCTTCTGTACGAAAGATGAGGTAGCCTGGTCCTGTGAAATCCTTTATAGGGTCGCTTTGAGGCGATGTCGCTATGACGGTCAGTGAGATGTTTTGGGTTTGGAGTCAGGGGTTCGTGAAATCAGTGCAGGTGCATTTCCCCCTGAAAGTGGCGGAGTGTAGGTGCCTGCAATAGTTTTCTTTTATATGAAGTAGAGTTATCAAGGGCAAACAGACTTTGAAGTCCAAAGGCAAAGCTTCAAATAAATTTGCCTCTCACTGTTAAATTGTTTCAGTGTGCTTTCAAAGCACCTTCAATCATAAAGACGAAATCAACGCTAGGAGGGATTCCAGGACCTGGTGCGTCTTGTTGAGAGTTGCACTGATAGATTTGAATCCATTACCAGGTCCCGCGGGAGAAACAGGGACCAATCCCTCCTGTGATTTACAGCTATGAGTAGGTTCAGACTCAATGGCAATGACTTGTTTTGTTGTGGCTTTGTTGTTGTTTGGGACTTGAGGCATTGTTTGTTTTGGTTTGCTTTTTTCCCCATTTACGACTCCCGACTCCCACTAGGGCCCTCTCGTGGCTTAGTCTATAATGCGTTACAGCTGCTAATGTGAATGTTGTGCTTTTCTGGGGGTTCGAATCCACTAGGGGCTCTGCAGAAGAAAGATAGGCAGTGACCTCAAGATTTACTATCAGCTCTCAGTCAGATCCCACTGGAAGATGGTGAATGTATATGAATCCACTGGATGGCAGCGGATTTGGTTTACTATTTGGTGGTGGAAGGGGAGTTACTCTGGGAGATTAAAAGAGCTGATGGTACTGTGGTTGGCATTTGGCTGACGGTTGGAACTCACCAAGCACTCACGAGGAGAAGGATTTACAGCTTTGATATTTATGTGCATTTCAAAAGGAGAATAATAGTATGCTGGTTTTGTTAGGTGTGGACTAGAAGTCAGCGACCTTCCATACAGCTGACTTGAAATGTACCATATCTTGTCCCATCCTCTCACTCTTTGATGGGTTTGTTTGTGGAAGCTATTGTTACAATCACTATGCCAATACATCTTATTGAGGTTCTTCCTCTCTTTCTCTGACTTCTCTGACTTTCTCTGACCCTTTCCACATTTACCAGCCTGATGTCTTTTTCCAAAAAGATGGCTAATCAAAAGTTTACATACAAATACAATCAATCTTGAAGCATTAACAGTGATGGGATGGGGGAAAGGAGAGAAGTAGTAAGTTGGGTGAAAAGAAGACAATATGCAATAATATTTATTAGATATTTTAAGTAATTACATTAATCAATTTCAATTAATGTTATTGTCTATTGAAAATGCAATATTATTTGTAAATATTCACTCAAATTGGGGAAAAAAGTAAAGAAAACTTTTTGGGGAAGTTCTGGTCTGTCCTCTAGATTCTAATGTCACTGTGATTTGGAATCCACTCCATGGTAAATGCAGTGGATTTTGTTTGGGGATTGGTACCCTACGATATTATAGTAAACTATAAGGAATTAAGCTCCATATCATGTATTTTGGACGTTCATATGTGCCATCAAATCGCTTGCAACTCAGAGATCCTTTGTACAACTCTGAAATCTTGCTCTATCCTGAGTCAATTTAACTGTCTTTAACACACCTACTAACCTACACCCATTAGCCCAGTCACTCAGTCAATCTATCTCACCCATCTATCACTTGCACTATGCCTCCACCTTTCTAAGTATGATGTGCCTCTCCAGTGACCTGTCCTTTGTGGTAACCATGCCCAGATTATATAAGATAGAGCTCCAAAGTCTTTGCCTCCAAGGAGTAGCTTGGTTTCACCCTCTCCAGGGTAGACATGTTTGTCCTCTTAGCAATCTATGGTATGTTCAATACTCTTCTGCAGCACCACAAGTAGGAGAGGCTATTCCTTGGAAAGGGATAGCATACTGGAAAGTTAGAGAGTCAGCAAAGGAGAGGAAGAACCTCAGTGAGAAGAATTGACACAGTGGCTGAAACAATGAATTTCAGTGGGATTTCATTGTGTTGGAGATGATGAGGATGGCATGGGATAGGACAGAGTTCAGATCTGTTGTACTTGGGGTCGCTATGAGCTGCACTTGATGACACCTAACAACGATAAGAAGAAATGAGCCAGGTGAACATAAATACATAAGAACACTAAAATGGGACATAATGTGAACTTGGATCATCAAGGAAAGATTAGGGAAATTGAGGTATATAAATGACCTAACAGAAACTTCTCCATACCAGATTACAAAAACATGAACAATGTACTCCATACAGACTACCAAAGTCCACATTAAAAATTCCTGTGGAGAGTGTATCACTTGGATTCATCAGGAAAGGAAAATACCTAATCAAGATAACAGGATGCTTTCTTTAACTTCAAAACTACTCAGCAGCATAGAAAAACACTCTAGACAGTGGTGATCTAAAATTACTTTTTATGGCAAAAATTCCCTCTGCAGAAAGTATGTTGTTCTCCTAAGTGAGAAGCCAAATTCTTTCATTAAAATAAAAATCTAGAAGATAAATAAATCATTGACTTTTTGGATTTGAGAAACCGTTCTTTGTCCATTCAGACTATAACAATAGATGGGAGACCCAATTTCCATACACATTTCCTTCAATCCACCTGTAACTTCTTAACTGAGTCTGCCTCTGCCCTAAAAATGTCCTTGCCGTTTTTGGAAGCTCTGTTAGTGTAGGTGATCTTTAATTCTAGTGTGCTATTTGGTTTTTTTTCCAGTAGTAGCAATGAAATAACTTTTCCACTCCCCTGAAATCAAAGTATACCCATATTATCACTTCACTGAAAACACAAAAAGTAAAGAAACATTTGAAAATATTAGAAAACTGAAGTTAAGCAATAATGTTAATGGGAAATAATGTGTTACATGATGTTGTAAAGCAAAAAATATTTGCAAATTGCACAATTAGAGGTTAGCGATCTGGGCCTCCTAATTAGTTGCAGGTGAGGTGCTTGTACATACACACCTGTTGCCTTAGGCGTCATCAACAGGAGATTATAATTAGATACTTCCTGAAGATTTTTTTAGCAGAATTAAGCCTGACTTCAGTTTAACTGTTTCCTTAATAATTAAACTAGTTTGTTTTAATTAATGCAAGGAACAATGCTGACTTTCCTGATATATCTATAATTAGCCTCAGGCTCCCGATTACCTTCTTTAGTGTCTTAGCATGTGACTTGTGCAATTTAGATCCTACAGTAATAATAAGTCCCCTCAAATAAACATTTCCAAAACCATAATTTATTTTCTTTACTTCACCACAAGTACAGCAGTAATAGCAACAACAACAAAAACAAACAACGAAAATCTTAGCTCTTTCACTGTTCTCCATTTCAGACAGGATCACCGGTTGCCCAATCAACTGCACAAACCAGAAACGTGCTGCACTGATTAGACCTGAGGAGCCTGGTTCAAACTGAAGGATAGATATAAATGACAGCCTGGATTTAGTTTAGTTACTTTTGATTTACTCCTAATGCAGCAAATCAGCTGTGTAAAAGATAAAGATAAGTAGGCACTTAGGTAGGCTCAGCTCCCTAGTGGTTCCCTTTGTCTCATGAAGGCATACCTAAAGCTTAGTGGGCTTAATGGCTGCATTGAGTAAAATGTTCTCTCAGTTGGAAGATTACTGAAGTAAAGCACATTGCTTGCTATCAGCACCCATCAGTGTACTCAGTGAGCCCTATTACCCAGGCATAATGAGTTGCTTGTACACACTGAGTTTCTTACTGTACCTGCACCTGGAAGACAAGCTCGCTGGCTTCCCTTTGTGACAGTACTGCAAAGCTTGGACATTTCCCCATTTGTGTATACTTGGGGTCTATGTAGAAAACACAAACCACAGCTGATTATCTTTGACCCTTTCTTCTTTCCCACCACATTAGACCCACAGACAATTAATAACTAAGTCTGTTGTTTATAACTGTTTAAAATACACAAAAAACTCCTTGCCTGCAAGTAGGGAACAACTGAAAATTCTTCAGTGAATTTTCATAGGCTTTAGATCGCACAAGGGGAGTTATCTCGCCTTTGGCTCTCCTGTGTAGCTTCTGGTGGATTTGAACTGCCAGAAAGGTGTGGTCTTTGGGTTATCAGCACAACTTTCTATGGACTACACCACCAATGCTCTCTTTAACTACTACTTGTTACTATTGTTATGTGCTGTCAAGTCAGAACCAATTCATAGTTGGCCCTCCAGTAGATTTTGAGAAGCAGTAAATCACACAGAAAAAGTTTGCCTGTATTTCTCCCTCAGAGCAGCTGGTGGATTTGAACAAACAGATTCATCCTGGAGACGGTTAAACTAGGCTGCTCTTTGGAGACAAGGATTCTGGGGCTTCGTCTGACATACTTTGGACATGTTGTAAGGAGAGACAGGTCCTTGGAGAAGGACATCATGCTTGGTAGGGTGGAGGGACAGCGCAGGAGGGGAAGACCCTCTATGAGATGGATTGATTCAGTGACTGGGGTAATTAGGATGGGTGTGTCAGAGGCAGTGCAATTGGCACAGGATAGAGGAGGGTTTAGGACTGTTGTACATAAGGTCGCTATGAGTCGTAAGCGACTCGACGGCACGTAAC